CTCTACACTCGCAATGTACGCAGATGACACCGCAATCCTTGCCCAAAATGCATCTGTTAGTTCAGTTCGTACAAACACTCCAATCCCACGTTCATGCATTGGAAACCTGGCTTCAGCACTGGAAAGTTAAGGTCAATGTTGAAAAATCGGAGGCCATTCTGTTCACCCATAAAACTAAAATAAAATGGATGCCTCCTGGCAAATTTTTATGAATAACAGTACAATTCCCTGGACCAAGCAAGCCCGATACCTAGGTATTATTCTTGATAGCCATCTCACATGGAAGCCCCACATTGACCATGTTATTACAAAGTACCGAGCTCGTAAAAGTGTACTCAACCCCTTAATTGCTCGGGACAGTGGTTTATCTTTAGCAAATAAGTTACTCCTTTATAAATCCATGTTACGACCCATCCTAACATACGCAGGTCCCGCATGGGGCTTCGTATGTGACTCTCGGATGAAAAAATTGCAAGTGAGCCAGAATACCTACCTACGACAAATTACGCGCTGCCGGTGGTTCATACGTAACGAGGCATTGCACAGGGAATTAAATATTCCCACCATACGTGATTTCATCAAGCATCTATCAAAAAGATTTATCCGAAGGATTCCACGTACAGGCAACTGTACAATTCCTCGTCTCTCGTACAATTTTCGCCATCCTCGTTATCGTAGAAGACCACTAGCAGTGCTCAGATAATTGTCGCTGTTGTATTTCGAATGAAATCTTTATCCTTATATATTTATTGAAAAAAAAAAAAAAAAAAAAAAAGTTTAAAAATTTATATGCACAAAGAAATGCCAAGAAAATCAAATAATCAGTAAACGCACTTGTGTATATGAGGAAAAAAAAAAAAAAAAAAAAAAAAAAAAAGGATTTGTATATATATTTGTGATTATGTGTGTTCAAAGTTAATATAATGCTGTTGTTAATGTGTAAAAAGCTTGTAACATATGGTATCATTTGCATACCTGTGACCTTAGCTTACTTACTGTACATAGGTTTAGCCCGAAATTCCGACCGGGCTAGAACTGTTCCTGTCTCTATTTCAATGTTTTGTATTATATTGTATTGTATTTTTGTAAATTCTGGCTCACACGGCAATCATCCGACTGTCTAATTGCTCCTAATGTATAATATGTTATTTCTAATATGTTGTATTTCTGTAAATTAGTCCAATACTCAGTACCAGCTTTTCCTAGCATCTGATTGGTTGCTAATAACAGCCTCTCGCGCTACCAGACTCCACCCCTTTTCTCCTGCAGCTTGCCATGATTTCGCACATGGACTTCCCACTTTCGACCAATCAGCGTAGCGCCTGCTCTGTAGCGGGCAACTGATCCTTCGGCGACCTTTCTTACAACAATCCGTTCATCTGTAATGTTCGGGCATGTTATTTTCGGCCCATCTTCCCATCTTTTGTTCTCTGTACCACATGTTTTGTATTTTCTCTACATTTCAGGAACATTCTATGCTCAGTAAAAATCACAAGTTCGAAAATCGCCAACATTGGTTATCCCGGGATAGCGCAACCGCGCGGGAGCCCGCTTTAGCGAACTGCGTTCGCCTGAGTCGCCGAACGATCTCTTTATCACTTAATTCACAGCTATAGGAGTGATTTTCCCGTAGCCGTCAGTTATATATTCGTATGCATTGAACTAAATGTACATCCTGCATCCAGACTATATTTTGATTAGCATTTTTCCTTATGACGAAAGTGGTGACAGAAAAGTCGCTAAAACCTTATAAGTGAGGGTCTTGATTATGGGTTTGCTCCGTAAACTTCCTCTTCACCAACAGATGGCGATACTCTTCTGCCATACATCGCGTATGTTTATAATTGGTATCAGAAACGAATCCTGTTTTGTTATATGCAAAATTAAAAAAAAGAAAACAATTAATCTGCAGTAGACAAAATTAACCTGATTAACCTGAAACCCCTTACAATGGAGGTCTTGATTCTCGGTTTGCTCTGTAAACTTCCTCTTCACCGACAGATGGCGCTACCCTTCAGCCATACTTCGCGTATGTTAATAATTGGTAAAAATGTATCAGAAACGAATCCTGGCTTGTTATATGCAAAATTAATAACAAAAATTTAATCTGCAGTAGAGAAAATTTTACGTGATTAAATTTGAAGTTATCCTAATTTTTTCATATGTAATTAGGTGCTACTTGATACCACTTTTAGTTCTCCCTTGTATCAACGTATCAGATATTTTCAATTACATTTATCAGAGATCTTTGTTTAACTAAAAGCATACATCGAAAATTTAAAAAAAAATCATTTCTTATATAAGAAGATAGTAGATAGCTACAATATTGGCTATGCTCTTCAGTTTTTATTGTTTTAAACACACCACTACAATTAATATCTCCTATTAATTATTTAATAACTTAACTATTTTTTTCTACTCACCTTTGACTTAGTTTTCACACAGTCCAGATTATTCAACGTCATGCTGTCACGAGACATATCTTATCCAACCGGAAACATCGCGCGATATATCCGCTATTAACGGTTCGGTTCCGATACTATAATAAATTATAATATAAATTCTTTATTCGTATCCACACAAGAGTTCGTTTTGGCACTTTGCGTCGATTCAACAGTAAACGTCCGTGTTAATTTTTCAAACTGTTGCCACCAAATATTACCGCCCTGTGTTATATTTAAAGAATTTAACTAATGAAGAATCTGCACAAATGTATGTATGTTTCCCGCATTGTGATAAAACAACAGTACCTAGAGCCATCGAAATTTGAATAACGTAAACCATCCCCCGAATATCATGGGCGTACCCAGCTCAAATTAAGGTGCGAGGGGCGTTACGAATCCTATGGATCAAGGCCAACTTCTACTCAAGGCCTGAACGAAATTCCGGTTCCCAGCATGGACCTTATAAGAAATAGTGGACGGGGCGTGCGTCACACACATGTCGAGAAGAGAGAGTAGAGACGATTTAGTTTATCATAACATTGAAACATATGGCGTTTGTACCACATAACTCTTTTTAATTATTAAATGTGATACGTTTTATTATTGATGAGATAATAAAAATCACAGTTTTTGCTAATAAGATTTTATATATCTCATGAAACCACTTTTTAGTGCATTTTGAGTATTTTTTTTACTGCATTTTGAGCATAAGCGTAATTCTTGTCTAAACATCATTACTTTGATAAAACGGTAAAACTCTAAACAAAAATTTATGAATTTACTTTTGCCTAGAAAATAAAGTAAAATTAAGTAAGATTGATAGTACATGATGCTATGAAACAAATAAGGTAAAATTAAACAAGATTTGGTAATTTTTTTTAAATTTTATGAACATTTTCAGGCAGTAGTAGCAAATATTTATCATTTCAAATGTTTATAGAAACAAAGGATTGTTTTATTTATTTTTTCTGTTTTCAAAAATATTATGGTATTAAAAGATGATCATTTATGACAATATTAATAACTCATAAAATTCGGAGCATAAACTTTTCTGAGTGTAATGAAAAATTTAAAAAAAAAATTCGCAGTAAATAAAAAAAATCGGTACTTTTCCGTTTTGCCGGCGCAAACGATAAAGTCGCCAATAATGGTACAACTATTACCAAACGGAATATCTTCGCTGGTAACCTTTTACCCTTCATTTTCAAAACAAGTCGCAGCCATTTATCAGATTGATTGTTTCTTTTAATACTGGCATACAATTACATAGAATTTTTACTAGTTAAATTTTATGCCTTAAGACCATTCGCGGTAAATAATTAGGATGCAATCATACCACTCACTCGAAGGCGATAATATAGAAAAGGCAAAATCAAATGTTAAATTCATCAAACCTAATGAGAATGCACTAGCGAAGTAAAGCACTGCGGTTTCACATAATTTCTGAGTAAGTTATTCGTACGAATTGAAATACTTCTTGCATTTAAACTTGTATTCCATAAGATTTAATTTAAGATTTAACTTGAAATTAATGTAGATAATTACTGAGAGAATTAGATTTTTGTACCGTAGTTTACGTGACATAAGATCACTTGGGGTCACGTGATACGAACCGGCGAATTAGAATGTTGAACCATGAAAGCATAGTAAATTCTTAATGCTTTTTTACAAATTAATTTGTCTTTATTTATTGGTGTTTTACAAAATTTACCATATTAGAGTGTTTATACCTTCAAAAAAAAATTCTTAGAACTTACATTTACTAACATTTTTTATGTGTATACTGTATGCTGTCGCCAACAAAGTCTGCTTGGCGAGATTTGCGCCGGCGAAACGGAAATGTACCAAAAAATCTTATGCGGAACTAAAAATAAATTTTAAAAAATAATTACTATAAAATACAAGATATTATATGTCCAATCTTAAATTTTTATTAATGCGCATAAAGTAACCTTGTAATTTTATATACCTGTAAATACTTTAAGCAGAATGACTATACATCCATAAATACATATGTATGAAAGTAAACAATTTAGGATATTATTGCATTGAAAAATTCGCTTACTTCACTTTTTATTTCAAATATTTGTGAAAACAAGATTATATCTACTTATCTATAATGTAATACACACACCTATATATATATATTTAGAGAGAGAGAGGAAAGAAGAACATATATATGGTTTATTGATGCTTAAATAAATTAATTTAGTAAATCTGCTTCGAATATTTTATGTTTAGACTCATTGTAAAATGCAACTGCATGATGCATTCTGATTTTTAAATATTGAAATATCACTGCTTTAATTAATTTAATCATGTGGTTTTTTATCTGGCTCATCATCATAAATATGGTCTTGAAGAGAAGGAAATATACGTGTTCCTACGCTTTTTAAGACTTTTAGAGTCATGAAATTTATAATATTTTTTTTATTCAATTTAAACTCCTTTTCAGTCTGCTTAAAAATTATTTCTGCATTTTTGCAGATCATTCGGACGTCACTGGAAGGAGAAGTCAAACCTTTACATCCAGATTTATAATATTTGAAACCTAGCAAACCATCATATGGGTTCTGTTGAAACTAAAGCTGAGAAACAGATATTACATTTTACTTTATAAGGTAAGCTTTTAACAACAAAACCAGCTAAATAAAATGTTTACTTTTCATTCTTAAGTATTCTTATTTTTGATTAGTTATAATGCTAGGAATTAAAATTTACCTATAACTTAAAAAAGCAGCAAAAAAATATCAATTTTAAAGAAAAACTTTCAAAAATTCATTTTTAGGCATTTTAGTATTTAGTTATAGCAAGGAGGTTAGAACTCATGGAGATACCCTCAACAGTCCAAGTGAAGCCAAAAAAGGGGGGAAGCATGCCCTTAGTAGTCGTGACTTAGAAAGATTGACGTTCTCTAACCACACCCAATTTTGTTCCCTGTAGTCGTAGAGGATCACAGATTCTTCACGCCCTCTTTACTTTTCTCGCCATGTCATTTCTACATTATGTAATTGCTATAATTTGTACATTATATAATTGCTATAATTTCTCCATTATGTAATTGCAATAATTTCTACATTATGTAATTGCATCCTGTAATTAAGGAATGCTAGCATTAAAAGTATTGTGAACACGAAACAGTAAATATGTACTCAAACTATAATTTGATTATACTTTACTTATTCTAAGTATATATAATTCTCAAATTTTGGCAGCATTGGCATCAACAATAATTTGGCGATTTTTTACGGCCCTCGAAACTGAATAGTACTGATTTGGGTATCTCATGAATGGTGGCATAAAGAGCCCATTAGAGAGGTCAATAATTTATGCCTTTGCTTGTCTTGATGCACTTTTTTTTAATTGTTTCTAATAATAAAATAATATATATTTCGAAACTAACCCTTCCACCATATGTTTCTATAAAAAGTATAATTCAAGAATAACAATTTTTATTGCATTATTTAGATTTTTCATAACAAGGAAAGGAAATTTTATTAGTGGGAGGAGCGAAACAATTTTGTAAAAGAAAGAATGTAACATGATGTATTTAGTAAAATAGTAATCAAATGTAAAAGTATTAGAAATTTGAAAGCATTTGGAAGAGCAAGATTGGAAAATTAATGTTACTAAGTAAACAAGAAAAATTATTAATGATGTAAAAGGGTTTCAAAGGAACCCAGGCGATAAAATAAAGAAGCTTTACGGATAATTTTTGAAGATCCCAAGTGCAATTAAGTGACTGCCATACCAAGCTAGAAAAATTCTTTTTTTCCTTTCGAAATTGAATTCATATTCCCTGACGAGAAATTTCAGCGCTTTTTCAATTTGGCCAATATACACCAAACAGCACGATGCATATCAAACAATGCTAAATTCGCCCTATGATTAAAAACACATATAAGATCTTTAAGAATCGAAAAATGAATTTTACTCATAGGTGAAAAAATAACTTAAATATTGAACTTATAAGTCGAGAAATTTTGTAATTCAGAGTAAGTTTAAATAATTATTGGGTAAGTGGCCAACTGAACATCAACGTCGGCTTAGTATCCTGTTGACTAAACGTTTTGACAGTTAAGTGTCCTGTAGCTAAATGTCCTGATGGCTAACTCTCTGTGTCGACCAAATGTTCCGTCTGCTAAATGTCCTGTCGGCTAAATGTCCTGCCGGCTAAATGTCCTATCGGCTAAGTGTCTTGTCAGCTAAGTGTTCGAGTTGGCTAAATGACCTATCGGCTAAGTGTTCGTGTCGGCTAAGTGTCCTGTTGGTTAAGTGTCTGTGTCGGTTAAATGACTTGTCGGCTAAGTGTCCTTGTCGGCTAAGTGTCCGTGTCGGCTAGGTGTCCGTGTCGACTAAATGTCCTGTCGCCTAGCTGGTGTCGGTTAAGTGTACAGACGGCTAAGTGTCATAGACCCATTCGCTATTCATCATGCCTAGTGCTACCTTCTACTTCCATTTGAACTTTTCTTACCGCACTGTATGATATGCCCATCAAATAATATGTACGCCACCAACAAGTTACATACAGGATAGTGTGTTCACCCGGGTGCCTGAACGCGCAAATGCGTCGCCTAACTAAAGACAGCAGTCAGTCAAGAAATGCTATAGCCAGACGTCGAACGACACTACTTCAGAGAGCCGTACCACGTCTTGCAAGTTCGCATGATAATTCGTGCATATTAGCGGAACTTGAAACTGTGAGCTCTCTGTTTGTTTGTGGCATTATCTTCTCTAGAACGGCAGGATGTTGAACTTCTGGAGAGGTACCCCGGAATTCCAAAAATTCGTGGGAAGCCATTTCAACTATTCTCATCTTCATAACGATTAACTAAATATATTAAAATTACATATTAATTAAAAACCCTGAAAACGCTCATTTTTGTCCTCACTTTTCCAAGCTCCATGCTGGAGTTAAAAATCTGCTTTATTCTGAAAAGCAGTGCCACTGCTTGCTTTCAACCCGTAGTTTCTTAATAAAAAATTTGTACGTTTTACAAAATATGATATAAAAATAAGATTGCCAAACATTAAATAGATTATTTCCGATTCTAAAAATCCGTGGGAAGCCATTTCGGTCATTATCATCTTCGAACGACTTTATTCAGCCCAGATATTAATTAAAAAATCTCAAAATGCTAATTTTCTCCCTCATTTTTCCGAGTGGAAACAGTCTCCGGCGTTGTGGATAAAAATGCTTTATTTCGAATAGTGTTGCTACTGCTCGCTTTCAAATCATAGAGTTTATTAATAAAGAAATTTGTGAGTTTTACAAAATATGAAAAAAAAAAAATCTGAAAGCTTTCAGATCTTACATTACGCCCAAAGAGCTGTTTTTTTTTAACGTTTTGTAATTTACCTTTATTTATTAAATATCATAGAATTTTCACTTAAAACAAATTCAATTCAACCGCAATATGGCAAAATAATTTTAAAATAAGCATATCTTTAGATTTTCCAATACCCAGTCTCGTGCGGTGGAGATATTTTTTTTTTTTTTTTCATTTTCCGTACAGTTTTGCCATTGTTCGCTTTGAAATCGTTGAGTCTATTAATCAAAAATTCGTTAACGTTTTACAAAATAAGAAATAGATAATAACACTAATTCCAAATTTGAGCTTCCAGATACCCATATTCGGGTGGAAACGTACGTTATTCAAAATGTGATGGTTCTAGGTACTGTTGTTTTATCACAATGCAAGAAACATAGATACATTTCTGAAGACTTTTCATTATTTAATATCTTTAAATATAACACAGGGCTGTAATATTTGGTCGCAAGAATTTGAAAAGTGAACCAACATTTATAACCAACGCAAAATGCCAAACCAGAATTAATAGTCCTACTGGGCAAATTGCCCATTTGAACTAATAAACATAACATTGCCAAAATTAAAATTGTTATAATTGCCTAATGTCATATTCTGAGGTTGAAGAAAGCACTCGATTAAACCTGATGTTATAGCGAATATATCCTGCGAACAGGGCTGTATAAAGGGCGATTGGAGCGAATGGGCCCCGTGTTACCATCAAAATAACCCCCCCCCAAAAAAATTGAAATTTAAAGCAAATTGCTTTTGACGATAATGGATAAATTATGAATTATTCAAGTAATTAAAAATATATTTATTTTAAAGTTCGCATTGCTGGATGAGATTTATTAATGTGCATTAATTTTATAGGTAGCAGTTTTCTATATTATAAAGTATATATTACATACTTTATAGTATATAATATATACAAAGTATATAATATATACTTTATAATATAAAAAAAAAACTGATACCCATAAAAGTTCAAATGCATTGAATTTAATTGGGATAGTCCTATATTAGAGAGATTTTGCACTATGTACGTAAACTACTGTGCAGGTTTATGCACGTGCAACTATTTGCGCAACCGTACCAGCCAGTGGTGGATGTATAGCTAGTATCAAATGTCAGTTGTTTCTCGCTATTCTTCTAATCGTTATAGTCATATTTTGTGACTACAATTACTAATTGTTGAATAAGGTAAGTACTAATTATATTACATAATATTTATTAACAAAAAATTATTTTAAAAATTAAAAATTTAAGTTTATTATGTGATTAAAAATGGATACCTAACCTATAATTTTATCATTTAGATGTTGAATCCACTGAAACGAGAAAGAGAAGACATGAAAAATCAAAAAAATCATTTGGTAGCTATGTTAAAAATGTACAGAGCTTCAAAAAAGACTTTCTGCTGAGCAAACAATAGATAATATTCAACAGAAGTTGTTGAACCAAGAAAAAATTTGTTTGTACAAGATATTTGAAAGCATAAACCATCTCTTATAAGGTTCATGATTTGAAAGGGGCCCCGCAAAGAGAAGAGAAGGCCCCCCTTCCCCCCAAAAAGTCACCTATTCGATCCGGGCTTGCCTGCGAAGCGCTATGTTTCCGGTTGGATAAGAATATGCCTCGTCACGGCATGACGTTGAATAATGTGGACTATTTCAAAAGGACGTCAAAGGTGGGCACAAAATAAGATCTGTTACATTATTAAAATAATTAATAGAAAATATTAATTGTTCTTTTGTACAACTGTGTTTAAAACAAAAAAAAAAAAAAAAATTGAAGAAAATAGCAAATTCTGTAGCTATATACTAACTTCTTACAATACAAATAATTTCTTGAAAAATTTCGATGTACGATTTTAGTTAAATAAATATCTCCGATAAGTATACTTGAAAATATCTGATACGTTGATATAAGGCAGGAATTAAAAGTGGGATCAAGTAGCACGTGATTACATATGACAAAATTAGGATAACTTAAAATTTAATCATGTACAATTTTGTCTACTGCAGATTAATTGTTTTTTTCTTTTTTTTTTTAATTTTGCATATAACAAAACAGGATTCGTTTCTGATACATTTCTACCAATTATAAATATACGCGAAGTTGTATGGCAGAAGAGTATCGCCATCTGTCGAGTGAAGAGAAAGTTTAACGGAGCAAACCCATAAATCAAGACCTTCACTTATAAGGTTTTAGTGTCTTTTCTTTCACCACTTTCGTCATAACAGAAAGTGCTAATGATTAAATATAATCGACAATTCTTCTAACACCTTGCCAATGAGCCTATTAATCGTAAACTCCTTCCTATCCGCTTCATACTTTAGTGTTTGTATCGTGTTAAAAAATTATAAAAACCAAAAGAAGTATAAAATATAAAAGTTTTTTAATTTCTTATTCCTATTCCTAAACTTTCTCGAGCCTGTGGCTCTCTCTATTTAGCATCAGGTAGATTACTTATGCACAATTTTTCCTATTTCTGCTCACTTTTAGTAATCCTGATGTGGAGGTACATGGTTTTGAACCATAGGCCCTCCGAAACTTGCAAATCATTGGCATTCTTTGAACAAAAGTCAGTGTTACAAGCCAGCCCGTTCGCGTGATTCGGACCGAACTACCAGTGTTCAGGGATTTTACCACTCGGCCGCTGGTGGGCTTCATCTAGCTAGGAGGAACATGTTCCGGCTGGAGATGTGTTCCTCGAACATTCAACCAATCAGACGAAAGTTCTGCTTCTGAAGGATCACGGGTAACTTTCAATATGGCGATGGCCCTCACTGTGAGGTCATGGACGGTGGAAATAGAGGCCGATTTAATTCTTGCTGTTTTGTTGTAATAATATAACTGCCTGAGTCATTTTTAAAATGTTTTATATATTCATTAAATATTAAATCGTATAAATAGAAATTTCAGAGTTGACAGTATTTCGACGTTCTTGCAGTTCGGATTTGTTTACAAATTGTTCGTCGCCAAATTTGTCGTATTTCGTTCTGATCGTGTATTGTCACTTGTATAATAGAATTTTATTTTTTAAGTTGAATTATTTTTTTAAATCCATTTGTATATGCGCGGCTTTTCTTCTAATTACTTATCTTTTAAATTGTTAATTGCATAATCAGGGGACACATTTTTAAACAGCATAAAAGATGCATAAAAAAAAGAAAGCATAGCTTATGTAATAATGAGAATACTCATTAAATTTGTCTATTATTTCATGTATTAATGAAATACATTTTGGATTATCAATTCATTAGAAACTATACTTTTATTGTAAATGCTAACATTGAGACATTGGAAATTATGGATTTTCATTATTCATGATGAAAACATTTGTATATACATTCATTAATATAAAATCTTATTCAATACATTAATAATAATAATGTATATTAACAACTTCTAACCCATCGCATCTCTCTATTCTGTATGTAAATATATGATTTATTAGATGTTGTATATATATATGTATGTACGAATACACAAAATGAACATTGCCAAAAAGTTATTTGAAGTTACTTTTAATTCATAATGATCAGTAATTGCCAGCAACTGTAGTCATCAGTTCTTTGCAAATTATATGGATATGTAAAATCAGTTGAAAAATACTTGATGAGCATTTAAGTACTAAAGAGTGTACACATTTTGTTATTGGGTTAATTCATAATTATATCGTATGTATGATCTACGTCATATAAACATGACTAATAAATAATAAGAAATGTAACAGCCGTGCATTTATAACATTTGATTACTTAAAACAGTGCACAACTGATTATCACCTGCATATCTGTTTACATAATAGAACTGTACTTTCCAATTAAGTGAACGTGCCTACTAGTGGCCGAAGCGTCGTTGAACACTAGTAGTTCTGTCTCAGGTTAGAATGCCGCGAACGGGCTGGTTACATGGGCATTTTCTTGGTTTTCCCCATTTGTAACTGGTATACGAGCCAGTTTAAAAAAATCTTCTACAAAAGGATCCCTCCTGTTAGGCAGATATCCCTCGAGGCTTTGCAGTAATCACATAAAACAAACTCATGATGTGCACACCTAATTTCTAGAGCTGGTATAATTAATGTGTTTTAGGTATATTACCGAGTGTTCTATGGGACAGTAAACAACTCGCACATGTTTTGAGTGCTCATGTATTCATATGCTTTATTTGATCTTCATTTTGCTGAATAGTATCTGCTGGCTGTGAAGATGTAAATATCAGCCATATAGATTTTTGTCATAGAAGATCGCTTTTTTTTTTTTTTTTTTTGTTGTTGTTGTTGTTGTCTGTTTGTTTGACTGGACAGAACAGTAATTATAAGCCATAAAGTAGTCAAGAAATGCTTTCACCAGGTCCAAATTTCCAGTGAGCCATTCAAATTTTGATTGAATGCAGACAACAGAAATACATATAAGTGATGTCTGGTAAATAGACTTATCCAGCACACGTTTTTAAACTATTCTTAGTGTATATAGAATTTGGCTATTACTGATGTAATTGATTGCTATAACCAGAAGTGTGTTTATCTGTTACTTGAAGTGCCAGAGTGGTGTCGTGAGTTTAAGAGAAAATAATGAGCGGTTTGTTAAAATTTAGATCAGATGAAAGATTTTTTGGCTAAATCGCAGAATAGGCTGCATCAGTCGATGCTGTGTTTACATCTCTGATGCTTTGACACGCCTTTTTATGACGTAATATTGGTTACGCCTCTTCTTCAAAACAAGTATGCTATAGCTTCGTATTTAAAGAAAACTTATATTATATTTTAACTGAGTTGAAATGGTAGGTTTATAATGTTTGTGCGAGATTTTTAAATTGTAAATCTACTTTTGTGGTTGTGTGGTATTGTTAGCATTTAAACGCAACGAATTATCTCTCACAAATGTTATTAAGATACCCAACGATTGAAAACGATCATTAGCAAAAACGATTGAAAATATTGAATGCATGAATTAAAAATTATAACTGTAACTTCTGAAAATACAGAAAGAATTCTTTTGCTTAAGAATGTTTTGATATTCATGCGTGTGTTTAATTCGGTGCTTACTGCAGAATGGATGAGTATTTGAATCTGGATTTTTTTATCAGTTGGAGCGAAGAGATAAAAAATGTGTTATTGAGTGGTGTATGGAGAAAGGTTTGATTGCAATATCGTAGAAGTGCACGATTTGTGGAACAAATATGAAAATAGTAGAGCGAAAAAACCGTATAGACGGTTTTGAGTGGATGTGCAGAGTTACTGGAGGCGAATGTAGGCATCGAATTTCAAAATCAATTCGAAAGAACTCCTGGTTTGCGAAAAGTAAATTGAGCATGTGTGATGTTTGCAAGTTACCTATATGTGGTTGGGTAAGTGCGGGAATGATTTTACGAACGGAATTCGTATTGCTAAAATACGGTGACAGATTGGAAAAGTTTTTGTAGAGAAGTATGCATGGAGTTATGTTTGAAGGAGAATGTTAAGTTGGGTGAGGAAGGTGTCATTGTCGAAATCCGACGAAAGCAAGTTTGGCAAGCAAAAGTATCATAGAGGGAAAAGAGTCGAAGGAAAAGGTTTTTTGGTAGGTTGAGAGAGGAACAGATAAATGCGTCTTTAAGAGTTGTTGAAAACAGAGGTGCCGAAACATTGCTAGAAATCATTAAAGAGAATGTTCTACCAGGATCGATTATTATATCGATTGTTGGAAAGCGTACGACTGCCTCGAGTTCGAAGGCTATGCGCACCTGAAAGTCAATCATAGCTTGAGTTTTAAAGATCCAGAAACAGGTGCGCATACCACCAGTATTGAAGGAACTTGGGCGGCAATGAAAAGAAGTTTTCGTGGCTCTAGTAAGGCAAAAGGACAGTTTGATTCCTATCTTGCGGAATATATTTTGAGAAGGAAAGCACAAGAAATCCGACGCAGCCAATGCGTAATATACTTCTCAGTGAGATCACAGCCACATATTCTGCAAAAGGAGAAGGACTGAAGGTAAGTTTGATTTATTATTATTGAATTAAGTAAAATATTGGGTGCTTTTCTTAATATGGCAGTTTGGATGTTTGGTAGTTGCTTTATTCTGGCAGCTTTATTTTTCTTTTGTATCATTTTTTCTGGACACTTTTTTGCAAACTTCTCTGATTTCTTTAAGTGAAAGCAATTTCTGAGATCTATGAGCAATGGAGAATTTATTGATGTCTGATTTTTTAAGTAAAATAGATCGATTTCACATGGGCAAAGCCAATGTGGTGCGCCAATGCCGAGTTTGTGCAATTATGGGATGTTTTTAAGTGAAAATAGGTCGATGTGCACATGGGCAAAGCCAATGTGGTGCGCAATGCAGAGTTTGTGCAACTCTGGGATGTTTTTTAAGTGAAAATAGATCGATGTGCACATGGGCAAAGCCAATGTGGTGCGCAATGCCGAGTTTGTGCAATTCTGGGATGTTTCTTTAAAGTGAAAATAGGTCGATGTACACATGGGCAAATCCAATGTGGTGCGGCAATGCCGAGTTTGTGCAACTCTGGGATGTTTTTTAAGTGAAAATAGATCGATGTGCACATGGGAAAAGCCAATGTGGTGCGCAATGCCGAGTTTGTGCAATTCTGGGATTTTTTTTAAGTGAAAATAGGTCGATGTGCACATGGCCAAATCCAATGTGGTGCGCAATGCCGAGTTTGTGCAATTCTGGGATGTTTTTTTAAGTGAAAATAGATCGATGTGCACATGGGCAAAGCCAATGTGGTGCGCAATGCCGAGTTTGAGCAATTCTCTGATTTTTCTTTAAGTGAAAATAGATAAATGAGCACAAGGAACCGAGTTTGTGGAATTCTTTAATGTTTTTCGAGCGAATACTGATCGTTGTGTAAAAGGGAAAACGAGGTTGTGCGTGATGTCGAGGAGTAATGTAACTTTATTCAT